TCTCCGCAGGGACTATTTCAGTTGAGGGCAAAGAACACAGAGAAACTTTGAAAGAGCTTTTATGTACTTTTGAGTGAAATGATCCTGAGGAAGGCTTTATACTTTTTATTCAGGCTCCCACATCCAGAAGGCCACTCACTCAATTACCAAGCTCCCTTCCTCCCTTTCTACATCCATCAATCCCTCCTCTATTCTTAGGCCGGCATCTGTGTGGTGTTTAGAGGCAGCGCCATGGGCTGAGAGCATGAGCTCAGGAGTAGAGCAATGTAGGGCATGTCAGTGACTTTACAGTGAGTCAGACATTTGCAGCCTCTTTTTGGCCATATTGTAAGACTTCAAAAGATCACGCAGCCGTGGAAAAGACAACACGCTTGCTTACTACTTGTCCTAATGCCGACTGTCTCTGAAGAAAAGTTTATCGGTCTCGTACTTCTGGAAGATTAATTTTTGACTTTTTTGAAATTGTTCAAAAAGAACCAAAAAAACTGTCTTGACATCACACACATTGGCTTAGGTAAAATAGGGCACATACAGATAAGGCTGATACTGCATGACAAGCTAACTGAATGAGAGGTAAACTCATTCTGTCGCCCTCACTTTCACATCTCCGCTCTCTTTTAACTGCAGCCTTGTCACTCAGTAGCCTGAGAGGTAAGACCTCACACAAGTTTGACAGATGAAAGTCTCCTCACTTCATCGCTGTTTGACATTTTACCTCCCAGAAAAAGTTTCAGCTTCTCTCCTCCCTTTCTCTCTCTCTCGCTCTACCTCCCATCTCCCGAACACACATGTACACGCTCCCCCTCCACGTGAGTCCGTCTCCTCTCCTCCTGTCCATCTGCCAGGTAAAATGGAGCCGCAGACAAAGGAGACGGAGGCTAACTCAGTGATCTGAATCAAATGGCATGAGGAGGAGGAGGGTAGCACAGGAAAAGAGGAGTGATGGGTGCCAGAGAGGGAGACGTGGGAGACAGAGGGGGTGGACGGTGAAGGCAGGCATGAGGGGCGAGATGTGAATTTTTTCTGACAGGTTGAAGTCTCCTCTGAGCTGACCCTCTCCCTGCTGGGAGCCGTGTCTCCTGGAGGCGGGTGGGGTGAGGCAGGATGCAGAGAAAGAATATAAGAAGGAGCAATGAACTGTGATCATGGAAATGGCCGTGCTGGATGCAGCTGTACCAGCAACAATCAAGAGGAAGCACACAGCGGATTAATTTGAAAAACTAAAGCACAAACTCCTGCAGGAGCCCGTCGCTGGGCAGGTTAAAACGACCATCAGTCAGCGTCAGGCAGCGTTATGAGACGTAGTGTTAGAGGACAACAGTGGAAGCAAAGTGACAGTGAAGACACATCTGCTGTCTGGGCCATTTTTAAATTCCATGTACTGAAAAAGGTGTATTGATCAGTGAGCGGTGAGACTGTGGCAGCGCAGCTCAGACAAACACGGTGACAAGTGACTTCCACTGACTCCAGGGTCGAGAGAAAAAACACAAGATAAAGAGGACGGATCATTTGTTTGAACATCTGGGGAGGAGGCCTGAGTGTCTGCGAGCGAACAAAAGAGGAGTTCAGACTCTGAATGCTGAGAAAAACAAAGGGGAGATCGAGTGTTAATGTCAGTTCCCCTCAGGGCTGAAATAATGACTCAGTTTTGTGTTGGCTGACCACTGATCAGTTATTGTAATCCAAACATCTGCTGGTTTGCTTCTTCTCAGATTTTCTGCTGTTCCTCGTTTTATGTTTAAATAAATGAAACATGTTTGGGTTAAAAGGCTAAAAAAAACTAGAAATTCAATTAACCTTGATTGGCAAATACAAAAACAATCAACAGATCAGTTGATAAGAAGAACCTATGTGTCCGTTTCTGCGTCCATGCTAACTGTGTGACACGTGTGGACCAGCAAGTTTAAGATTTCACAACAAAAAATAAATCATTGAAACAAAATGCAAAATCTGATTCCCAACTCAACTTCAATGTTATATTTATATTAAGCAGCCAGACTGAATCCTTCAGAAAAGTTATTCACTGGGTTGAATGTTGATAAAACCTTGTTCTCCTGTTTTCTGCTTCTATTCTGAGATAATGGCTCCTATTGAGCCTCCTGTCTGTCTGTCTGCTGATCTCCTCTCTCACCTATTCAGTAACTCTGTCTGTGTCTCGTCTGGCTGTCAGCCCCCCCCCGTCACCCTCCTGTCCTGCTCCCAGAAGACATCAGCATCTTCCATCTGAAATCTCATGTGACGATTAGATCACAAACCACATCGTACTTATTCAAGTATTTCATATATAGATTTAACCTGAACAAAAGCAAAGCAGTGATGCAGTCCTCCCTCCCACTGGGTTTAAACAGTCTTCATGTCTCCATATGGGCCGACAGTCTCACAACACAGCAGCTCCACTGGATACCAGCTACAGGCCAATGTTCAACAGATGTACATCAATCAGCGTTCTGCTGCTATTTGTTACCGACTGCAGTGAAATCAGTAGATTGTGTTTTCTGATATCATTGATTTCCCACATCATCGTCTAACCTCCTCTGCTCCTCTGCTCCGCTCCTGCTGCACTTTCAACTTCTCTCTCACTGTATCGTATCCTCAACATCATCAATCCCTCTCTTTCATCTCACACACACACACACACACACACAAACACACAGGCTTGGACTAATTTATCAGATGTGGCCGGGTAGATTGTGAGTTACACAGAAGTGTGTAGTTGTATACAAAATGTATAAATGTATATAAAATGAGAGGAGAGGAGATTTTTCTTGGGTTGTCCATCGGTGTGAATGAGAGTGAATAGTTGGTTTTCTCCCCCCCCGCCTCTCACTCAGTGTCGGCTCCAATTCCCCTCGTGACCCTCAATGGAGAAGTAGTTAACATAATGGATGGAGAATGATTGATTCACGTAGGATTAGGATGTTGAGGCTTAAAATGGAAAAGGCATTAATTAAAAAATAATAAAAATCATTGTGATTATTTTGTCCGAGCACATTTATTTGGTGCAATAACATATTTAGTCACTGGTAACAACTGGGAACAGTTTCATGACATTACATTACATCTATGTATCCGTGTCAGAAAAGAGGAGATGTAAGAAAATCCACGATTGTGTTAAATTTCATATTTGGTCAAATTATGTGACAGAGTTAAATTCAAAAACAACAGTAGAACAAGAAAATTCCTCCACAGACATATTCACTAAGACATCTGTTCTGCCCAGACACACACACACACACAAACACACACACACACACACACACACACACACATTTATTAAAGTCTGGTGTTTAGGTGCAAATCGCTGTTTGAAGATCTCTCCTCCGACAGAATTGGCTCAGGTAAAGGGGGGAATCGTCTGCTTTGTCTCATCTCCATAATGTTTGTGTATTCTCAAGTAGGTGGAAATGCAAAATGAAACATAATTATGCTGCTCTCCCGCTGACAACTGATAAGTCACCAGGCGCAGTGGAAACACAACTGTGCATGGTGAGAAGAAAGAGGGTAGGAAGAGAAAATAGAACCTGTGTGGGCCCGGCTCATCTCTCAGACTGTGACAATACTACTTACCTGGAGGTTGTAAAAATAAAAAAACTAATAATACCACGTACATACGACTGTACCCCTAAGCTCATTAAACAAACACTTCCTGTATCTCATTCCTGGTTCCGCCATCCCAACGAAGACGGATACCTCACCTTTGCTACCGAGTGCAATTACACCAGACCAGACAAATATAGCAGGGGGGGTATTATCTTTCTGAAACACCTGGGAAGTCAAGAAGATAAAAAAGCTGCCCTTCTTTAAAGCTGCAACGCCGCTGCCTTACAAAGAACTAGGTTGGCCTCTTCCAGCGTGTTTCTGTGCAGCGAAGTACAAATTAACCTGCTAAGATCAACAATAAACCTAATTAGGGTTGTGTTGTACAGCACACATCTCTAAACACAGCTTGTTGAGAGATGAATCTCCATCTGTCTGGCTGCACACACTGGGAGGAGGAGAGACTCAGACACTATCAGGTCTCAGATTCACAACATGACGTTGAGTGAGCGTGTGTGTGTGTGCAGGGGGGGTGGGGGATGAGAGAGGCCCTCTGTGGCCACAGGGTTACTTCCCCATGTCAACCCTAATTTTATGATGTCATGCAGCAGCGGGGAAGTGGGACATGGCACATGCACGGAGAACATGCCATTGGTTTTGAGCATGTTTTGGGAGGTGGGGGTTGGTGGGGGGAGAGTAACGCTAAGGGGCTGAGACAGGAACAGCTCTGCCCTGCCATTTGACGCTCACTCCTGGGACTCTGACAGCCAGACAGGGAGGAACACACGGGCGGTGCAGGAGAGTCCAGGCAGCTCACAGACAAGTGCTCACACATGCTGCTTAATTTCTTCCGTATGTTTGTTTCGCCAAAATAAAACATGGTTTCTAATTTTAAATTGAGAAACGAAATCCGAACCCAGGTTTCCTGTAATTAAATTACACATAATGCAATAAGAGATGAAATCAAGAGAAAATGTTTCCCTGGTTATCTTATTAAATCCTTCCAATATCAAATAATACAATTATTGAATTTTCCATGCAGCGTTTTCCTTTTCTTCCGACGTGCAGAAAACATTTGCAGCCACACAGGAGATTTCAAAGTCTGGAAAATGATTAAAAAGTGCATTTCTTCTGGATATGTATTTTCTGACTGTGGTAATTTCCCTAAGCTGCCGTTGGACATGAAAGCATTCTCACTTCGCCTGTGACACTGTAGAGGATAAAGCAGTGAGGACACCGAGGTCCAAATATGTTGCCTTTATGGGTAGAAGCTGTCCCATTCATCATGTGCTAACACACGGAGCTCTCTATAATCCCTGTCCATAAGTTATCCTGGGGCACGAATCAGAGGAGGAGAAGGAGAATCAGACCTGAAGCACAAAGTGAAGACTTAACGAATAAAGGTTGATGTAGAAATATTTTAATACCAACGAGGTGCGATTAAATAAATGCAAGACAAAAAATATCTTTCAGAAATAAGTTTATATAACAAAGGGGTTATTATGCAGTATCATATTCCATGAAAGGACAGTGTGCATAACCATGTTTTCATTTTCTTAAGGATACAAATAAACTTAAAATGTTACAAATATAAATGTTTCTTAAGACAATAAAACAAACTCAATGACAACATGGAAGGTAGGCAGGGATACGGCAGCTTACACATTGTGGTCAGAGCGGGTTTGTCAACAGTTGTGAGGGTTGTTTGTTGATTCAACCATAATTGGTCTCCCACAAATCAATAGAAAGCGCTAACAAACCAGGGAAGAACTGGATATGTGGCAGCTGCGAACTATTTACCAGAAGAAAGACTTTGCAAATAGTTCACTCTGTTAGTGGCAATGTCAGACATGTCCGCTCTTCCTCTGCCTGAGCAGAATATCTCGTGAGGTAAAGTGCACAGCCAATGAGTGTAAGTTACATTTGCAAACTTGTCTCTGAATAAAAGTGCTCGCCACCAGTCACCATGGAAAAAGCACCTTTGCAAATGTATTGATGAATCGTTTCATACCCCTGCCTCCTCATTCTTACAATCACCATGAGCACAAGTCCTAACCTCAGTTTGTTAGTTCACAAGCTAAAAGACGATGGAATGATCAGGGCGTCAGGGCCCTCACTAAATAATGGAAGAGTTCAGACTCTCAGATCTGAATCTCTGCTGCTATTTTCTAAAAAACACATAACTCTGATTATCCTAAAAGACGGGATAGAGGGAGAAATACAACAATCACTTACATGGCTGATGAGGAATGTTGTCATTGTAGAAGTTTCTCTTAAGGTTGAATGTTTTTTAAGCCTTTAGTTACTTTTTATAGGAAAAATAATTTACTTCTCTCCAGTCACTTGATCTAACAAATGGCAAAAATCAATGTTTTCTGATGTATTATACACATTCAATTTCCTGTTGACACTTCTACAATGGCTAACACTGTAGCTCATGACGATCTACGATGAAGTCATTACATTTCTTTAAGAGTCCAAATAAACGACATCTTACAAAAGATGTTTCAGATGTAAACTACCACAAGACAAGTCATTCTGTCATCACGTCAAAATCTCAAACTCAGAGTGACAGTTCTTAATCAGATCAATGTTCATTAAAGGATGAAGGACTAAATAAATCAAGTTTTTTTTTATGTCTGTACAATCTTTCTTAAAGTTTCAGAGAGACCTGCACTCCCTTTAATATCCAAACTAAAATTTAAAACATTGATATTCTGTCATTGTGGTGTTTTCCCAAAAACAAACCAATAAACAAAAAGTGGCACATGTGGGGTAAAAAAAAATCTTAATGATTAAACAACAAAGAAAAAGTTATTAGGCAAATTCTTCAGAACAAATGTACACTGTAAATGTTACCCAGAAGCCACTGGCTGTTGTGGCGTTAACAATATCGAATCATAAAATGAAGAAACACCAAATGTCCCTGCAGACATTGGTGTTAATTGAGAACTTCTACAAAAGAGTCTTATTTAACACTTGAAGCTGCACAGATGTGGAGGTGGAGAGGACGAAGGGCGATTCGAAAAAGTTAGTAACAACACACCTCCATCCAAAGCCCACCCATGCAGAGACCTCCTTCTCTTGTCTGCAACTTCTCCAACCTCGTACTCAGAGAATTATTGACTTCTTAAATATGCAGATTTCTCTGAGCGTTGTGGATGCACCTTGAGCTGAGACGATGTGTAAAATTGCATTTTTAGAAGCATGCAGGCTGGGGGGGGGGTGTCATGAAACCGACACATCACAAGCAGCACTGGCAGATTGTTTAAATGAAAAATCTCCATCTATTCACCCCAGGAGTCAAACACACGGAATTCTATTTTGCCCGAGCTCCTGTTCAGAGTACTGAGCTGGAATGGTGCAGGCACACACACACACACACACATACAAAAAGCCTTAAGCAGAGTTGTGGTATTACTAAAGTGACCTGTGTTATAGGAAAAGGTCCCCTACGCCATGTGCCAGGGAATCGGAGGACGTTTGGAGACTCACTTGTTAAGACAAGGATCCTGTTCTCCCCCTTAGTCGATTAATCTGGCCGTCGTCGTGCTCCGTGTGGATTCAATGGTTGTTTTTAGTAGCATCTGCTTACAGTGAGGGGACAGGGCCACCCTCAGCGTGAATATATGAATAAATAGCTCACGTGAAGGAATCGTGACAGTGGGTCCTTACAGAGGAAGAGCTTAGAGCACATTTTCCACTATTTGGTGCACAAACACAGAGGATTTAGGGGATTGTTTTGATGCTGTAAAGCTCCATCAGATGGAAGATGTTACTGAGAACAACTGTGAAGTATCCCGCCAGGAAACAGGCTCTTTAATAGAGTGTTAAAAACCCTTTAGTGTTTGAGCCACGGGTTTCCTTTAGTAGATTTTCACTGCTCTTTTCCCCAAAGGCGTTTCAATTTATGAATAAAATAATGCCTGTGGTTCATCAAGGCTTAAATATATGTCAGAATCTGTTGTATATTCTCCATAAATATATCAAAATGTGAATGTTGATATATTTATGTATAGAATATACATAAATATATCAACATGTGAACACAAGCAGAAACACATCCATGTTTCTTTGAGGAGATTATATCTGTGTATTTTCATTTCTCTCAATTGGGGAAGAAAAAATACTGAAAATCTGCACCACTGGTTTCCAAAAGATTTAAAAAGATTTAAAATTCTACATTTAAAAAAAGAAATATACAGATTGAGTTTTTTTTTTTTTTTTTGTCATTGTACTGTCAGACCCACTGGAAACCTGTGTGACTGCAGGGAAGGTCACAGAGTTCACGTTAGCGTCTCCAGGCAGTTATATGCATTTAGAAATATGTCAGTCTTTCATGTTAACAGCAAAAGCGACCTTGGGACAGAGATCAGCACCCGGAAGGCATTGGTTAGATATTACACAGCTAAAAATAAAATGCATCTTGTCAAAATGGTGATTACACTTTCAAAATCCATGAGTCACATGCTCTGAAATCTCGGCGTACACGGGGTCCAGCTCTAGCGGCTTTAGAGGAGATGAAATACAATGATTCATGTGGATTCTTCCGTACATTTACTTTTTTAGATGTTGGTTAAAGGAGGGATGGAAAAGGAAAAGAAAACACACCACTCCCTCTTCTGTTGAGAGATCGATGCCTTGTTGGAGGAAACGTCAGGAGGCTGCAGACTCGCCAGCGTGGGAGCTGAACGAACCGTGTGTGGAACGTTCCTCTGGATGATAAACATTCTATATGGTGCGGTCCTTCTCGGCTGAATGTCTACTTTCAAAACACAGCACTTTCTTTATCAAAACTGTATGTGAACAGTTTGATTGAAAAGGATTCAAATTCAAGGCTCTGCCTTTTCAAGAAATGGAAAACTTTCGTCTCAGACAGCAGCAGCGTGTGAACTGTTTCAATTTATGGATCAAACCATCTACAGAGGACGTGAGCATTTAGAGAGAGTATTGAATAAATATGTAATGTGTCAGATGAGAGGCATTAAAATGAAATGTCTGTGTGATGTAATATAGATCCTTCAGTTCTTCCTCTGGCTATTCTGTTCTGAACTTGGTGCTGTGTGTGTGTGTGTTTGTGTGTGTGTGTGTGTGTGTGTGTGTGTGCGTGTGTGTGCGTGCCACAGTGGGGGGTGGTCTGTTCCTCCCTCAGACGTCTTCAGGATCTCCACCTCGCAGGCCTCTTTGGCACTTATCTAGCGTCTTGTGGTAGGCGCGGGCGATCATCGAGCTTGGTGATTTGCGTTGTGGCGTGAGCGAGACCTTTCCAGGACTGCGCGGCGGTTGTCTGTTCAGAGAGAAGAAACAAGAGAGAATCAAACCCAGAGAGTGAGACGGAGAAAGAACAATGTTGTTACATTGATCCATACTGGCACGCAGGAGCTCGACTAAATGAAAGACTGTATAGACAAACTAAGGGAGGCAGAGAAAAGAGAGTGAGAGCAGTGGAGAAACAACATGAAGCAAATCCAGGCTGATTGAGAGCACAGCAGCAGGGGAGGAGGGAGAAACAGAAGAAGCTGCTGGAGTGGAGGTGCTTGTGCCTGGTGTCATAGTAACTCTATTCAGCTCCTGATCCAGGCTTCCACTCAAGAGCCCCTCCACTATTCTCACATCAGATGCTGCATATGCACAGAAGACCAAGTACACGGACACAGTCAGGCACACAATCGAGCCGTTGACTAAAAGAGCGGGTGTGATGTGAGCACACATACACACATACATACAGTCCATGAAGAACACAGAGGGAACTAAAACTAAAACAAATTAAATCATCACTAAAGTCATCTGAAAGAAACACCTCTAATCTATCAAGCTGCAGGAAACATCTCGCCTCTGCTCTGGACACAATATCATGTTGCAGTGAAATTCATCTTTTGAATATATAACATTGTCTTCATCATATACTATCACATTAGACATCATAATTTGTATATATAATTAATCACATTATAATTATATAATCATTTTTATTATTTTGTCATGATTAGCAATTCCGTTCCTGGGATATCAAGTTCACATTCCTACATACATGTGTTTGTAAAATGTCTCCAGCCACAGTGTTTCAGCACAGAGGAACACAAATAAAAGTTTGAAGTAGCTACGATACACCCTGTGGGTGTTAGTGACAGTGAATGTTTCACTGTGATGTTTGTGGTCAGGGAGCTGGGCCAGACACACTTTGGATTTTCTCTGCTGCCAGTTCCATGACAGAGTCACACAAACACTGCCTCCCATGTTATTCAACCACGGATGCCCAGAAATGCCCATGGCATCCACCGGGCAGCCAGGTGGCTAGTGGGGCTGCACAGAAGCAGGAAGCATAGCCATGGAGATGACTGCAGGCACGCCCACACAGGACTCCCAGGTATTTCCAAGCATGAAGCCACCAATATATCCATTAGTCAGAGCCAGCTGTAGGGTGCCAGGCATCCCAGGCTGGCCGTTGTTTAATGGCACTTGCTCCATCCATCATGTCAGGTAATGAGCTGAGAGTGACTGTGATGGCTGAGAACGCATACACATCCGTGCACGCACACACACACACACACACACACACACACACACATGCACAGAGATAGACTTCCACCATCACAGTACAGAACAGAGCGCACTCCTCCTTCAGATTGGACACAAAGCATCATGCAGATGGTGCACAGGAGGAGAGATAGAGGGGGAGAGAGGGAAGGAACAGAAAGAACAAAAGGAAGACGGAGACACTTTTCAGAACAATGTGTGAAATATCCTCATTCAAATGAACGTATGTTGGGGGAACACATTGAAGCTAACATGTTCTGGCAGCGTGTTCAAAACATCACGAATTATCCATGCACCTATTTTTATGGTGACAGGTGTGTTTCACTCTGTAACCAGCACTTGCACAACGTCCCTGCTTTCAAAACAAACATCCACTGTCCACAATAAAGAAAGAAAAAATGGGGACACAGCTGAACAAAAAGTGGATCATCCATATTTTATCCACAGCCAATGATTTGCAAGCCCAATTGCTGTAACCTCATTTCTGACCAGGCACTCCCCCTTAACCTTCAGTCTGTCAGAGGAGCATCAGCTGGGAGAATACAGAGGGGGGGGGGGTCTTATGCTACATTTAATAAGGTAAATAGGACAAAAAAAAGAGAGAGGACTATACAATGAAGTCAAATAATAAAAGGAAAACTGGAACAACTCAGAGACATTTGTAAAGAAATCACAACTACAAAGGGTTTGAAGGGAACAACACATAGATGTTTTCCAGACAAGTACAACATGTACATTTAGAGTTCAAGTACACATACACACACATTATAAACATTTACTCAAAGTTTAACCTTCATATTGATTTAAAGAACTGGTGTATTGATACCAGTACTGTGCATTTAACAAAAGCACAGATATTTACTACGCTGTGTAAACTCAGAACAATGGAGACTATTAGCGTGACCACTTGTTGAAACCCTACAGGTTTAGAGCTGCACAGTCGACAGGGGAATGTTTGTGGAATTACAAATGAAACATGTCCATTACGAGGTAAATGTATCTCACCTAACCGAATACCTGGGAAATGTTTCGTCAAAGACTTTTGCAAAAACGAAGAAAAACTTCCAGCAAATCTCCCATCAGAGGATCCGCCAGTGGAAAGAAGAGCTATTGGCTTCTCATAGAGACTTCTCTGTTCCTATCTTCAGGTGCATAAAATCCCATCTTGTCCCACCCCACATCAATCTATCACAACAATTGAACAAACAGCAGCCATTTCTACTGGGAGAGAAACATTACGACTAACCTCTACTGAATTGAATTCTTCAAGAGCACGTACACACAGAGGCAGAGGGGGAAACAAAGTTAGACTGGGGAAGTGGAGGAGCGAACCACAAAGGACAAACTCTACGGTTTTGTTAGAGTGCTGATTGCGGCTCTTTCTACTTGCGTTGGTTTTGATGGCTTCTTTACCTGCTTCTCCCAGAGGTGACATCTTTCCGGGTTACAGTAGGCACGACACAGAGGAGCACAAGAACAGGAGGAGAAATTGATAAAAAGAAGAACAGGCATTCCGTGCTACAGCAGGGACATGTTGGCATATCAAAACTTAATTAAACGTTGGCTGGCACTGTTTCTCAAAATGTTACTAAATGCACCAAGGATTTCAGTGAGGGTGGGCAGATGGAGGGGGAAGTCACTGACACACACACACACTCATGCACGCACGTACAGAAATACACACCATCTTTTCCTATTCTCAGACACACACACACAC